GCTGGGGAATTCTGGGAGTTGAAGTCCTCCAGGCTTCAAGTTGGCAAGGTTGGAGACCCCTGCCTTAGGCTAATTCCTGGGTCAACGGGTGCCTTCCATTTTTGTCAAGGACCTTGCGTTGCCTCTAGTTGCTGTTGAACGGTGATCTTTATTCTTTTGAATTATGGATTAGCAGAAATAAGGTATCTCAAAAGAATGAAGGACCATTCATAGTCTGCAGTTCTGTGCATTCATTTCTCGAGCTATTTCTCGAGCTATCGTACTTTTCTCCCAAACTATAGTCAGGTTGCTCCTTTTTTCCCCTCTTTTTCCTCTTCAAAATAATAGATAAGTTATTGGAACATTTAAAATCCTTTGGTAAGTAGTATTGAATTTGGGTATGTATACCTTTGCTAACAGTATTAATTCCCAAATGAACTAGGAATAAAGGGAGGATGGCATGGAGGCACCTGCAGGATAAAATGTGGCAATGCAGTTTCTACCTATTTCATACAAGCTCAGATGTTGCAGCACATATACAAAAGGGCTGGGACTCACATGCTGATGCCTCTGGGAGAGCTTTGCCCTCCAAAGATAAATGTATGTAGGTAGCAAAGAGTGATAACCAAGTTATCATGAACAAAATGTAAATGCTACATTTAAATTTATTTCCTTTACCCACATTGAAACCTTCCCTGCCAATGTTTGTCATTAAACATATTTCAGACTTACAAAACTTTCTTCATTTTGTCTGAGGTCAGAAAATGCAGGAGTTCCCAAATGAAAACATTCTGTTATCTTCATTCCTTTTTTGCCAACTTGCCAAGCAAAAACAGATTCATAGTTTTGAAAACAATGTACAAGCTCATTTATTTCGGACTTCTAATACATTCACCAAAAAAAAAGATGATTGTTTAACGAAGGTCAAGAAATAATTTAAATTCTCTTATACACATAGACAGACTTCTTCACTGTCTTTTCATTTTCTTGTCCATTGCCTCCTCCCATTTAAACCACAGAATATATGAAAAATAATATTTGAAGTTTTACCCAGCAACCTCATTTCCCCCCCCCCCACCCCAAAGGACCTCTCACGTTGATATAATCAATACAGTTAGAGGCATTTCTTTTTCAAGGAAGTACATACAGGTAGTCCTCAACTTACAACAGTTTGTTTACTGACTGTTCAAAGTTACAATGACAGTGAAGAAAAGTGAATTATGTCCTTTTTCACACTTACGACTGTTGTGGCATTCCCATGGTCATATAATCAAAATTCAGTTGCTTGGCAACTGACTCATATTTATGACTGTTGCAGTGTCCTGGGGTCATACGATCACATTTTGTGACCTCTGACAAGTGAAGTAAATGGAGAAGCCAGATTAACTGAACAACTGTGTTACTAACTTAACAACTGCAGTGATTCACTTAACTGTGGCAAGAAAGGTCATACAATGGGGCAAAACTCACTTAACGTCAATAACAGAACATTTTGGGCTCAATTGTGGTCATAAGTCAAGGAGTACCTGTATCCACTGGAAGTATTCTTTAGCTTTCTCAATTATCCAGTGTGTGTCAGTAAATGTATTTATTTCTTGGTGTTATCTAAAGTCAGGTTGAACATCTGGCATCTTCCCATGTTTAATTTGCATTAGATGAGCTAAGCATTATTTGATAGCTTGTGAAATTAAGAGTATTATTCAATAGTTTGCATAGTCCATTGAGTCTCCTTTGTTTTATGTTGGAATAATTGATCTCTTCCATCCTGTTGGCCGCTGTTGTTTTCCAGATATGTTGGTATATTTGATTATATTGCAGAATTAATTAAACTAGAATTCTTAGCTCATGGTCTATGTGAATAGGATTATTATTTCCTTGCATAAATTGAAGGGAATGTAGAAAGTAGGAAGGAAATTTGTTCCCCAAAGATAAACATTGGAAAAAGTGTAACAAAGTGGCACAAAACCTAACCATCTTTTTTCTGCCATAATTGTTTTCATTGTTAAACACTATTATGTTCAGGGTAGGTAAGATTGTTGTGAAATTACCCTGTATATTTTTAATTTGAGGCTTCCTTTTCACATGACATTTTCTTTTTTGTTTCTAGAAAAAATATGAGTGGAGGATTAGCACCAAGCAAAAGCACAGTTTATGTATCTAATTTGCCCTTTTCATTGACAAACAATGACTTATACAGAGTAAGTACACTTTAAAATTAAACATTAGAATTGAACCTATCTGATTGTGTGAATAATCATAGAGCATTTATATTTACATCTGTTTTGTAAAGAATTCACTTTCCTGTTTCTATATCTAATCTAAGCTATATATTTTTCTCTCTTTTCAGATTTTTTCAAAATATGGGAAAGTAGTTAAGTAAGTATAAATATCAAATTGTATGTAGCTTATTCTTTAATGTGTCTAATAATACCAACACCCTCAATTTAACAAGATCTTTTGACATGTGTAAGACCAGTATAGGCAACCTGAAAAACTTTCCTCTCTGTTTGTAATAGTATGTGAATATATTAGTATTTTTTTTTTCCAGAGTTACAATTATGAAAGACAAAGACACACGAAGAAGTAAAGGTGTTGCATTTATTTTGTTCTTGGATAAAGAGTCAGCACAGAACTGTTCTCGGGCACTTAATAATAAACAAGTAAGTGACAAGGGTATATTATTAAGTAACTTTTGAGATATTCTGAAAGCTAAAATTGTATTTTTTTTTTTTTAGCTATTTGGAAGAGTAATAAAAGCAAGTATCGCTATTGATAATGGAAGAGCTGCAGAATTCATCCGAAGGAGAAATTACTATGACAAGTCAAAATGTTATGAATGTGGAGTGAGTAAATGTTGATGTCCCTACGAGATATTTGTTTTTGCCATGTTCTTATGCTAATGCCATCCACTGAAACTATACATACCAATGGTTATCAATTGGTACAGTCAGTTAAGATAATTTTTTTAAACTGTATACAATGCTACATTTTCCAAGAGTAATTATAAATGAATAGAACTCTACTATTTACAAGGTAAATTTATGAAGAAGTAAAAAGTAATATTCTCCAAGTTCACCTTGTTCAATAGTATTTCCTTTCTCTTAAGGAAATAGGACATTTAAGTTATGCGTGTCCTAAAAACATGCTAGGAGAGCGTGAACCTCCCAAAAAGAAAGATAAAAAGAAAAGGAAAAAAGTAATTGAACAAGAAGAAATGTGAGTAAAATATGTACAACACATATTCCCATTCCCATGTACTGATTGAAGTGCCTGTTCTGTACAATTCAATATATGTGGGTTTTTCTGTTTCCTTTGTGCTGTTCAGAGAAGAAGAAGAAGAAAGTGAAGATGAGGGTGAAGATCCTGCTCTTGACAGTCTCAGTCAAGCTATAGCTTTCCAGGTACTAACATAAATATTTATTGCATTATTCTCTTCTTTTTAAAGCAAATTAAGGGCTTCAGAACTTGCAGTTAATGATTGTTCTAATTTCTTCTTTCGTATAATAATCGCTAAGATTCTTATAAGAGGTTTTATACATTCAGCTGAATGTGTCTCTGTATATATAGTATATCATGATTCGTAATATACTTGATTTCTAAGAAAATGGATACACTTTTATAAATACGGCCTTTCTCCTCTCAGGCCACCAATTGATATACATTGTTATTTGCTTCTATTTACAGCTGAATTAAGCCTATTGAGTTTTCCCCTTTGGTTTTAAATAATGGCAATTAATTAAAAGTAGCACACTTTAATTAGGGTTTTTGGAACATGGTTCCACGTAGTGTTTTGAGAAATGCAGGTAGTCCTCAAGTTATGAATGGAATGGAGCCTGCCCATTCCATTTGTAACCTGATGATTCATGAGAGTGAATCTCGTACCTTGAATGGGATCACTCACTCACTCCTTTCGCCCATATATTTGCTAATTGAATGCAAGGCTCGTTAAGTGCACATGAGGTATTTCAGAGTGGGGAAGGCCATGGAGGGGCCTAGTGACGGAACAGGCCAACTGCTAAGACCACCCAGGGCCTCCCCAATCCCTGAAATACCTCATGCTCCCCACAGTTGCTTTCCCCCTCACCCAACCTGCCACACCACCGGGTCACTTACCTTGTGAAGATCTAACAAGCAGTCTCCTCTCCGGCCTCTCAGCTGTGTGCACCCCTCTGCAGTTCCGTTCAGGTCTCCGCAGGCCTTGCCTGGCAGGTTGCTGACTGAAATGGATGGCAGATCCATCCCTCAGAAGCTCCATTTCGGCCAGCAACATCCAGGACGAATGTTGCAGAGCCTTTGCAGTTGTTTGCAAGGGCGAACAACTGCCATGGTATTGCAAGATTCGCAGTTTTGGCATTTGTTTGCAAGTGCTAGGGGGCGCTTATCACATAACTTTGAATGTTTGCTAAGGGAATTCTCGTAACTCAGGGGATTACTTGTATGTTCAAAATATAACTGAAGTATTAATTATTCATTAAGATGGTAAATCAGTATCTCTAAAGGGTTCATGGGATAAAATGGAGCAGATTTTCAGAGGTAGGAACATGACTGAAAGACAACCTACCTTCTGTTTAGGAGGGAGAACTATTTTTGGTATAAGCTTTATTGATTATGAATTATGGCAAAATGTTTATTTCTTAATTTTTGAGTTTCTTATTTAATATGAAATCTGATTTAATTATCAAGTAATAGTCACGGTTTCATACACAGACTAGAGTCATATATCACAAGGATATATGAATGTACTATGAACAGTATACGTGATGGCAAACCTATGGCATGCGTGCCATAGGTGGCATGCAGAGCTATTTGTGTGGGCATGCGAGCCCCAGCCAAAGTTACCTGCAATGTACATGTGCATGCCTCCCAGCTGATTTTAGGCCCATTTGAGGCCGTTTTCGCCCTCCCGGAGGCTCAAGGGAAGCCTCTGCAGCCTTTGGAGGCTGAAAGGGGGGCCTGTTTTGTCACTTCCGGTATTTCCGGAAGTGACGAAATGGGCCTGTTTTTCGGCCTCCAAAGGCTGCAGAGGCTTCCTTCAAGCCTCGGGAGGGCGAAAACAGCCTCCCTTGGGCTCCAGAGGCCCTCTGGATGCTGAAAATGGGCACTTCTGGTATTTCCGGAAGGCCCGTTTTTCGGCCTCCCGTGGCTGCAGAGGCTTCTCTCAAGCCTCCGGGAGGGCGAAAATGGCCTCAAACGGGCTGAAAATCAGCTGGGAGGCACATGCATGTGCAGCGCAGGTAAGGGGGGTGTTGCGTGCGCATGCGCAGGGAGGACGAGGCGCATTGCATTGTGGGTGCCGGCACGCGCACGTGCGCGCTTTCAGCACACAACAAAAAGGTTCGCCACCACTGGTATATATGATCATTGGCCATGTGTGTGGGATTAAGGGATGAGCACATATGAACATATATCACAAGGACACATGTACATACGCCACAAGGAACTATATTGGAAGTTCATTGTTTAGGGTATTGTTTCTGCTTGATTTTTTTTCAGCTTGGTTGTTTACATATGGCATTAATCCCTGCTTAAGAATGGCTTGCATGGTTAGGACGCTGGCTTGACAAGCAGCAAGTTCATGTTTGAGACCTGAGTGCAAGATGATCTCCTGTCCTTTGGTCCAGCTCCTGCTGAGGACATGAAATGAGCCCCCAACTGGGTATCCCCTGGGCAACAATAATGTCACCACGTGATCCTTTCAACCTGGAAGCACTTTGATGCCTCCAACCCCCGTGCAATGAGAATTTCTGCTTATCTGGCTGTTGGTTGCTGGAAAAAAATGTGTTGTGATAGTTCTGTTTCCTTCAGCTTTTTTATTGTCTCTTTTGAATGGTGTGTAAATATGTCTATTGGTGGCTGATGTCAAGAGTGCCAAACTTCCAGGAATTCCCTAGCTTTGGGGAATTTTGTTTGGTCTAGTATGCTCACAGTTTCCTAGCTGAGTCTCTTTCTGTGTTAAGGAGTTTTTATTGTATCTTGTGACTGCTAGTTGGTGCTCACGGATATGGTCTCCTAACGTTTTGCCTTTCTTGTTAGTCCTACACAGTGACTGTTACAGTCCTTACAATATATGCTCTAGGTAAGTCCTGTTCTTTGTTCTTGGGCTACTAGGTCATCTGGTTTACTTATGACATTTTGGAGGGCTTTAGTTAGTTTTGTAGGTTATGGTGATGCTGTGTGTAATAATCTGTAGGTTGTTTCTGAGATATTTTGATGTATAGCAATATTATCCTTGTCATACATAGCTTGCGCTGGTAATGCTATAGTGGGGTGAGGAGTCAGGTTTTTTTTTCTTTTCAATAAAGTTGAATGGGTATCCATTTTATTGGAAGATGAATAGGCAGTATTTTTTCTTTTTTAGTGTTCTGGGTTGCTGGAATGCATTTGTGCTCATTTGAATAATGTTTTTACACAGTTCCTGTTGTGAGGTTTGGTAATGTGTGTTACTTTGGTAATGGAGCAGTTGGATAGTATGGGGTGTTTTGAATAGATGTGTATTTCTAATTTGTTGCCATTTCTTTTACTGATCAGGATTGTCCAGGAAGAGTGATGTTTGGTTTCATGTTCCTTGATTAAGTTATTTTCTACTTGATTGATATCTGCTGTTCATCCCTGCTTATCTGGCTGTGACCACAGGTAGTCCTTGATTTACAATCATAATTGAGCCCAAACAGAATCAGTTGTTAAATTATCATGTTTCCCCCGATTTATTTATTTAACTAATGGCTCTGTTTCAAAGCTAATTGTTCCATTTCAAAATGCCCTATTTGCAAGCAGACAAAGCTTCCAGTATCCCTCTGGGCAGAAAGTATGCAGTGAAGCTAGGTGGAAGCAGAGACATGGGAGGGGGAGGCAGGTGATCCCAATGCACCACCCACTCTGTCCACCATATCTTGGCTCAGCCATGCTGGGGCAAGCACCCATGCACAGCATCAAAATCACCTGCCTCCCCCATGCCTCTGCCTGCTACTGCACAAGCCTCCCGTGAGCCAGGCAGCCGTGCAGCACATCCAGATCACCTGTCTTTCCTCCCGCCTCTGTTGTCCGACTTATCTGCACTGCACCATGGGGCCGGCGGGCTGCAGCTGCTGCCAGACACTGTTGGTGTGCCGCCTCTTGTGCCAGCCATGCCTATCCCCTGAGCTTATTTTTGCGGTAGGACTTAAATTAGGCCCACCCCAAAATATCAGGCTAGGGCTTATTTTCAGGGAAACACCATAGTAACATGGTTAAGTCCCCATTAATTTTGCTTGTCAGAAGGTTGCAAAAGGTGATCACATGACCCAGGACACTAAAACCATCATAAATGTAAATCAGTTGTCAAGGATCCAAATATAAATCACATGACCAGGGGATGCCGCAATGGTGATAAGTGTGAAAAATGGTCGTAAGTCACTTTTTCAGTGTCATCGTAATTTCTAATGGTCAGGTAAATGAACTGTTGTAAATTGAGGATTACATGTACTAGAGCGAATGTGTTCTTACCTTTTGTTTCCTTCTTAGCTTTTATAGTTTCTTTTGAGTGGTATATAAATGTGGTTTATCCCTATGTACTGTGTTTCTCATAAAATAAGGTCGGGTCTTATTTTCTTTGAGCCTCGAAAAAACGGCTAGGACATCTTTTCGGGGTGACTTAATCCCCCCCCTTGCATCCTCAGGCAGGCGGGTGGGTGGCGGCGGCGTGGATGTTGGCCTCAGTGGGGTGCCCACTGCTGCTGCTTCCTCTTGGAGTGTCCTCTTCCGTTTGGAGTGTTGCTGCCGCGTTTGGAGCTACCGCCGCCGCATTTGGAGTGTCACCGCTGCGTTTGGCGCTCCAAATGTGGCGGCGGCAGCTCCAAATGCAGCGGCGACGCTCCAATCAGAAGAGGACACTCCAAGAGAAAGCATAGGTGATGGGTGCCCCGCCAAGGCTGACAACCACACCGCCGCCGCCCACCCGCTGACCTGGCCTGCAGGCAGCACCATACCCAGGTCTGCAGCAAAGGTACTTGGCGGGAGTAGGGAGTTCTCTGCGCTCTGCCATGATCGGCCATTAGGAGCAGCTGGTGGCGAGGCATGGCTGCCCGCGGGGCGCTCCTAACAGCAAGGCCCCCCGCCCTTCCCCCCATTTCACATGTTTTAAAATAGGCCTAAATTTGGTGGGAGGGGCTTAATTTCATTTTATGCCTAAAAACATGCTGGGCCTTCCTATGGGGGTGGTGCGTATTGTTGGAGAAACACGGTATGTATTGATGGCATATTTGTCTGAGTGTCAAGGCTCCAGGAATTCCCTAGTAATTTTTGGATTTATCTTGGTCTAGGATGCAGTTTTCCGGCTGAAGCTATAGTTAAATCTGTCCGTGTGTTGTGAGATTAAGGAGTATTATGTTGTATATATTATTCATAGTACAGATAGGTATACACACACACACACACATTTATTTTTGTGTAT